CCCCCCCCCCTACAACGCAGCGATTTCTTTGTTACAAACTTTCGGTAATGACGGGTTGGCAGTGCGGTGTTGCATGGAATATTAGCTTATATCATGTTGAAGGCGTCTGATTGGCTCAGGCACATTAAAGCTTAATCTTGTGGACAGGGCTCTGATGAATATTCCGTACACGACGATTTGCTCCCTTGCTCAAGGAGGTCAACACATGTCAATTTGTGAACAAATTTCGCCTAGCACCTGCGATTGAATTCATTTGGGTTCATTTCCGGAACCAGCTTGTGTCTAAACAAAAATTCGTGTGTGCCTTCTTTACCGAGGCTCGTTTCTGTTGCCTTGGACAATCGGGAAGAGGAAGTGTGGAGTACAGGTCAGAATCTTCAACGTAGCGCACACCCAGCAATATCAACCAAAACTCGCGCCAAATCCAGTTCAAACCCCTTAAGGGCAACCTCTTTATTTTTTTTGCGGCAAAAAAAAAAGGGAGGAGAAAGTGCGGGGAGAGACAGAAGTACAGCAGAGAGAAAACGAGTGTACTTCTGTAGATGCAACAGCTATCTCCACCCATAGGCCATGAGGACTGCCCGCGACAGGACGGTGGACACAGATAGGATCATAGAAGGGTTGATGCGTGGTCGCGGTGCGGCCGGTAGCGCAGTTTAGGCTTGCAGACCTCGAAACGATTAGTCGTCAATCCGCATAAACTACTATATTTTCAGTACATTTGAATGATCAGTGAAAATGATCAGTTGTTGTTGTTGTTGCTGTTGTTTCTCACATTCGCTCTATAGTCCACAAAAAATGGAGAGCCCGTGGTCTCAAAACCCGGCACATACGACGCCGCGGGGAAACAAAACAAAAATAGGGTACAAACCACTCGGAAAACAAAATGATAGAAAGCAAATAACAGATACTGCACCGACCGTTCGAGAAAAGAGCCCTCGGAAACCGATCAAAATAAAACAAAAACAAAAATAAAGGAGGACGCTTCCCACACCCGCCTAAAGAAAAGGTTAACGTACCAGCACCAGGCACTACGCACCAGGGCATGGGAGTAACGGAGCAAACAGGACAAAGAGGCGGCAGATGGGCAGACAGCCAGATGTACAAAAAACAAAAGCAACAGCAAAAGCGAGATCAGGTACCCAACACAGCAGAGTAGGCAGGGAGGACATGAAAAAAAATGACAAAAAGAAACACAGCACAGAGGCCGAAGGCAATACAAAGGACACACACAAAGGAGTATAGCATACAGCAGGGAGGGAAACAGGGCGCAACAACATCACCCGGGTACATGGTTCGCCACAAGTGCTGCCTCGGCCGCCCTACTCGCTTCTACAGCAGTGCCCGGTCGCCGTTTCTTCCCCCCCACCGCCGCTTCCCCGACTCTTTTTCTCTTCGGTCCTGAGATGGCCGCACTCTCTGCTTCTGCTTCCCTCGCGCGCTGGCGCTTCGCGGACGCTTCCGCCTCCTGCCTGTGCCATTTCCTCATGAGCCATGCCGCCCCGTCCTCGACCTTGTTGTACCACACCTCCGGGTCCTTGGCGATCCCTTTCTATTTCCCCCCCTTCATTTTCGTTTCCCATGTTGAAGGCCACGAGGTCCGCTCCTAGACGAGACACCCAGTCGCTCTCCTGCCCGCCCCGGTATCCCAACCCCCCCGCCATCGCTCCTAACAGCATGCGCTTGGGGAGGCCGTTGTCCTCCATGCGCATAACAAAGCCCGCGAAACACAGTCTCCGTTTGCGCACGGTGGCCTCGATGGTTTCCTCGCAGCCTGCCTGGAT